TCTCCCACACAGACAGATCAAGAGTTGAGATGAAGCTCTGCATCGCCATTGCTGAACGTATACAGTGTACCAGGCATGCATGGGTGTTGGGATACAAAGTCCCTTGCTTCATGGACCTTAAATGAGAGAGAGAGAGAGAGAGAGAGGACCCATAAACAATTGAATGTGTATTCTTCTGTTAGCTAGTGATGAATGACATGAAAAGTTGAGTGTGGCAATTAGGGACCCTGGGGTAGTCTGCCTGATTTCTGATGTTCTGATTGAGAGAGCTAAGCCTTGAATGAAGTGAGAAACTTCAGAGATGTTGAAGAAGTGTATTGTTGGCAGTGTCATGACGGTTCTCCAACAATACGCTGTATGAATGTTTGTATCTCCCTGCCCAAGTTCATACATTGAAGCTGTGATCTCTGATGTGATGGTATTTTTTTGGTGAGACCTTTGGGAGGCATTTGTTCTTAAGTGAGTTCATGAGAGTGGGACCCTCATGATCTTTCTTATAAGATTAATTTTTATAAAAAGAAGAGTCCAGGGCTGTGTGTCTTTCTGCCTGCCGTGAGAGCACTCGTCTGCTACCCAGCAGGAGAGGCTTTCTTCATGAGAAACTGAATCTGCTGGCACCTTTGTTCTGGATGTCTCAGCCTCCATCATGATGTGAGTCAGTTCCTCAAAGTGAATCTCTATATGTGTACATCTGCTGGAACCTAAATCTTGGAGTCCCCAGAACCACGAGAAATAAATGTCTGGTGTTTAAGCCACCCAGTCTAGGTGTTTCGTTATGGCAATCTGAGTGGACCAAGACACAGAGGGAATGGCAAAGGCAAAGGCAAAGGCTTTGAAGTGGGGAGAGCTTGGTGTCTGGCTCCCAGGAGGTGACAGTGAAAGGAAGAGGGAGGCAGGCCACATCAAGATACAGTGCTTGGGGAATCTTTTCTACAGGGGTCTGTTGAGCAGGTTTTGAGTGTAGGGAAGTTATATGATCTGATTCCCTGCCCCCCTTTTTTTGAGATAGAGTCTAGCTCTGTTGCCCAGGCTAAAGTATAGTGGTGTGATCTCAGCTCATTGCAACCTCTGCCTCTGGGGTTCAAGCGATTCTCCTGCCTCAGCCTCCCATGTAGCTGGGATTACAGGTCCCTGCTACCACGTCCGGCTAGTTTTTGTATTTTTAGTAGAGACAGGGTTTCACCATGTTGGCCAGGCTGGTCCTGAACTCCTGACCTCCGGTGATCCACCCTCCTCGGCCTCCCGTAGTGCTGGGACTACTGATTCCCACATTTAAGAGCTGGTTTTGGCTTTGGCATGAAAGCAAGGGATACCACTTAGGAAGTGAGAGGAAGCGTCGCAGGCGGGTATCGTATTTGCTGATGGGTTAGATATGAGGATCAAGAAGCAGAGGAAGCAAAGGATGACTGCTAAATTTTGGGGTGAATTTGGGTGAAGCCTTAGGAAAGAAGTACAGAGGTGTGTGTGTGTGTGTGTATCCCAGGTTAAGACTAAGATCCTATCAGACAGCCTGGCAGAGTCGAAGAGGATTGACCACAGGACTCTGGTTTCAGGGAAGAGATCGGACCTGGAGATTATGGTTTGGGATTCATCAGTTACCGGGGCAGTTGTGTTGGTGAACTTCTGGGGCATTCTTGAGTGACTTATTTTAGTTTATGAAGATGATAGTCGTGTTGGTACGAGGTGTGAAAGGTAAAATTCTGCTTGTGTTTGTAATGCCTGAGTGCTTTGTGTGCACAATCTGATTGACTCCACACCATTCTTTAATATCCCATGTTTGCAGCTTAAGGAAACTGAAGCACCAAAAGGTCAGTGTCAGGACTCCTTTGTAGAAGCGTTTCATTGTGGGGATGCTGGCAGCCGCCTGCTCAGCAATACCACACTAGGCTGCCTTTGCACACGAGTCTCCATGCCCGAGGAATCCTTTCTTCCTCAGCCATTGCATTGTGCATGTGAAAACAGCTGGATGTTGTAAAAGAATAACACTGGACATGAACTCCGGGGACAAACGTTCAAGCCCAGTCTGTTATTTACAGGATGCTTTGTTAGGGGAGCATGAACATATAGAGTTCACAGGATGTAATCCAGGTGAAGCTGATCATCCATGTCTGCCGTCTTTGCTTTGCCATCCGTTCCTTCTCCAGTTACCAGCCGGCTTCTGCCAGCCTAACCCCTTCTAGCCAACTCTCATTTCCTGGCTGTGCCAGCCTGATTACTTCTAATTGTCTTTGACTGCTTCCAGCTGGGTCTTCTAGCTGGCGTTCTGTGGGAGCACAGAGGCAGTCTCCCAGCCATATGGGGCGAGGAGATGGGGAAGGAAAAGGGTAGGAAGGAAGCAGCTGGTACGAGTCAACTGAGAAAGCTTCCTGAGGCTTCCCAGCCCACTGGGATTGGTCATGTTTTTGAAAGGGTTAACTCATCTGAGTTAGAGAATGACCCATCTTTGACAAGACAAACAATTATATTTGTTGATCCCCAAAGGCAACCAACAATGCAAGTAAAAGCGCTGTTAGAAAGTCACTGGTAACGTCTCCCCCAGGACAGACAGGGTCTTGCTCTCAGGAGCAGTAAAACCCCACTTGAGAATCAAGTCAATGACAACTTTCATTTATTTATTCAACAAATATTTACTGAACAATGATCATGTCTCAGACGCTGTGCTAGGTACTGTAGGGCAAATAATAAAAGACAGACACAGACCCAATGAGTCTGAAAGAGGAGAAAGCCATAGATGATGAGTACGACAGGACATAAGGGGAATGTCAATGACTAAATGTGCTAAGAGAGAACAGAGGGAGCTGGGCTTCTTGCAGCTTGCTGGTTGGGGAGGGCTTCCTGGGAAAGGGAACACCTGTGCTACGTAGAAATGAGTCCGATACAGCAGATCGGGGGCGGGCATGGCACCGGCAACGTGTGGCAGTAGGGAAGCCCGATCCTGGCTAATGACAGCTGAAATGTAGCACCCCCTCATCCCCCGCCCGCCCCAGGATAAGGCTAGAAATTCAGTTTGGGCTAATTAGTAGAGAATTTTCAATGGTGCATTACTGCTGCATTGAATAATCATATGTTTTCTTGGAATATGAGGGCAATACATTGTGTACTAATTTGTTTTACATAAAGACATTTCTGGGGTGATTTCTTGTTAAAGAGGCCATTTCAGAGACTAGGACTTGTAGTTCAAAAACAAGTTACAAAGCTGACGCATGGGTAGGATTTGGACTTCTCTTTGGCATCCATCCCAGCTTACAGAATTAGCAATGGACTTGAATCAAACCCAGGCAAAGGCTTGAGAAAGATTTAATGGGCCTGGATTTTCTTTCTTCTTCACCCCTTTCCTGACCTCTACCCTGAGAGGATAATTAAAAGGAAAGAAAAATCTCTATTTCATTGTAAATGTCATCCACCATTTTTGTGAAACTTTTTTTTTTAGTCCACAAAGATACTTGGGGAACAGTCTCTGAAATTTGCCTTAAACTAAAATTTAGAGATAAATAAATCTCTAAATTTTTACAAAGAGTGCACATCCTTACATTAAAAAAAAAAACAAAAAACTTACCCTATTAACTCAGCATTAGGTGGACTCCCAAACTGTTTCTGATGGAAGATCAGAGTGGTTTTTGGCCCCAAAGTGAGATCCACACTCTTATTCTTTAGACAGTTGCTGGCACCATGCTGTCATCATCCTCGTCCCCTGCAACTGTCTTCTTAAGATTTGATTACTGAATTAGAGACGTTAAAAGGATTGAATGAACCTTACTGAAATAACCAAGGCCTGTGGGATCAAAGATGTCCCCTAAGCACAGCGAGAAAAACATTTTAAGCTGTACCTTTAATATTGGTAAACGGAAGCAATGAGACAGAACCACAGAAAACGCAATATGTTGAGTCCTAATAACTGGGGCTGGTGACTTGCAACAGGTAGGTAGATGAATATGGTAGTGTATTTAAAATTAGACCTATTGAAAGCAGGTATTTCTCTGGGTCCCTCTTCAGATGGGCCAGCGAGAACCCAGACACTGGATTGATGACAGCTGTTGTCCAACCCTCCCCGCCCCCACCCCCAATCTCAAAGCATTGCTGTGGGTCGATGCCATACTTGTTTACTCAGGAATAAACAATGAAAGGAACTTTGTCAGGACCAAATCCTTCCTTTCAGCTGATGTTGCATGATCAGGATGAAGTTTGCATTAAATGCGGGCACCTCAACAGGTAGCATTTTGTAAATGCCTCCCCCTACCTACCCTCCTGCTTCTCCCTCACAAGATTCTTCATTTTCGGTTTGAGAAAACGTTGCGGATCCTGGAGAGGGTATCCAGTGTCGTCAGGGCGGCTGCAATTGTTTATGCGATGAGCACAGTCACAGCGCTTGCAGAACAAAAGCATCGAAGAGCGACGAACGCCGGTCCACCTCTTGCAATCACGGGCATCATTTCAATGGAAGGCAAAGAAGGTGTAAGCTACAAGCAGAGGCAGAAAACGCCCTGGTTCCTACATTGCTGCTGCTACTATTACCGCTGTGGCTGCGCCTCCTCCAGCACAGCCATCCAGGCTGCGTGCAAGCCGGTCAGACGCCGGGCCACCTCCCCACCCTTTCTTCCAGCCATCCATCAATCCTTCCACCCCAGGTCCAGGGTGCCCTACTGTGTGCCGGACTCAGGACTAGGCTCTCAGCACAGTCTAGACCCACAGTCTAAGGAGTTCGAGAGCCTTCCCCCTTCCCCCTGCCCCGGGTGGGTGCGCCCAGGGGGGAATTTCACCGCCGAAAGGTCCAGAAAACCCAAGCCCAAATCCGGGCGAGAGGCGCAGCCGGAGGCTGCCAGACCTGGGCGGCCCGGGAGCGCGCGTCTCCAAGGCCGCGCAGGGTCCCCCCCCCGCCCCCCGCCTGGCGCTCAGGTGGCTCCTCCGTCCACTCCGCCGCTCCCCTCCCTAGGCCCTCCCCTTTCCAGCGAGGGTCGAGTTTGACTGTGGCGCGCGGGGAAGGAGGGGCTACGAGGGATTTGAAAGTGCACGGGCTGCGGAGTGGAGCTCGCATCTGTTCCCGCCGCCCGCGACCAGATTAAATTTCTGCAAATTCAAACTGAATGGGGCTTTCTTCTGCTGCCTTCCAGAGGGCGCCTGCAGCCCGCCGCGCGCTTCTCTCCGGCGGGAGCGGCCGCACCGCGCAAGGCTAGGAGCGATCGCGCGGGCCGGACCAGAGCCCGTGCGGGCCAGACGGCGGCGGCGAGGCTGAGGCTGCGGAGGCGCCCGGGCTCCGGGACTCAGGCACCCAGGCACCTAGGCACCCGGACCCCGGGACCCAGGCGCCGCCAGACCGCGCCCCACCCCGCGCGCGGGAGCAGGGCAACTGTCATTAGCCTTCTGGACGGGACCCGGGGCGGGATCCCGGCGTCCTGAAAGGGGCCCGGGCGACCCTCTGAGAAAGAACTTTTGGGGGCGGGGTCCCCGGTCCCGCATCGCCCGGGCGGCCGCTATTGTCTGCGCTCCTCGCTTGGCGGCGCAGGGGGCGTGATCGCGGCAGCCCCGGGAGTGGGGTGCGGATACCCGGGCGGGGCTCGGCCCAGGGCGGCGGCGGGAGCAGCCGAGGGAGCCGCGGGAGCCGAGGAGCCGGAGGAGGAACTGCGAGCGCGGGAGCCGAGCCGGAGCCGCGCGGGCCGCGGGCGAGCGCGATGCCGGCGGCGGCTGGGGACGGGCTCCTGGGGGAGCCGGCGGCGCCGGGGGGTGGCGGCGGCGCGGAGGACGCGGCCAGGCCGGCGGCGGCCTGCGAGGGAAGTTTCCTGCCGGCCTGGGTGAGCGGCGTGCCCCGTGAGCGGCTCCGCGACTTCCAGCACCACAAGCGCGTGGGCAACTACCTCATCGGCAGCAGGAAGCTGGGCGAGGGCTCCTTCGCCAAGGTGCGCGAGGGGCTGCACGTGCTGACCGGGGAGAAGGTGAGTTTCCCCGGTGCGTGGGGCTGCGGGACCCGGGCGGCAGCGGGGGGGAGCACTGCGCTGGGAGTCCCAGTGCGCAGCCCCCGGCCGGCGCCTTCCCGCTCCTCCCGGCTTTCCTCTTGGGTTAAAAGAGGGGTCGAACCAAACGCGCGCTCAGACCCTCGCAGCCTTTCCGGAAGGGCGGTCTGGGGTCCGCTGTCCCGGGACTGGGGGCTGGGAGGGGGCGTCCCGCGCCGCCGTTCTGTTCGTGGGAGGGCGCCGCCTGGCGGACACCAGCGCGGGGGGCGGGATGGGGCCCCTCTGCCCTCCAGGCGGGCAGGGGCGGCGGATCCCTGGGGAGGCGGGAACCCGGGCTAGAAGAGGTGAGCTCTTATGTCGGGGGTGGGGGAGCAGGAAAGCTAACAGCCAGCCTCAGGGGGAGCTTAGAGTCTGATCTCCGTTCTGTGCTCCAGCAGGAGGTGGGGAAGGCTGAGATCCTGCATTCCTCCCCACCTGCGGGCTCCCGCAGCTAGGGATTTTTTTCATGCTCAGAGGAGGGTTTTTGTCTCTGCCCCCCACCTGTCCATCTCTCAACCTGGGCTCCTCTCCATCCACTCAAGCCTCCCACCCCTGCCTCCCGTATCACCCACCATTCTCATGCCCGCCGTTCTCATCCCCTTCTCTCCGTCCCCCCAGCTCCTCCGTGCCCTCCAGGCTCGGTGGGAGCTGCAGTGAAGACCCTGATACTGGCAGGAACAGAACGACAGATACCCCCCCAGAGACTGAGAGATGCCTTCTTGTCTTTCGAGAAGAGGGGAAAGGAAAGGGGACCTCCCCATACCGATAGGGGCACCTCTCCAGCCTTGCTGGAAGTTAGATGGTCGTGAACCCTTGCCAGGCGAGCGGCAGGTAGATGGAAGGTGTAACTTAAAACTGTGAGAAGAAACCCAAGAGGTGGTGACTTGTTTTTGAGGCTGGGTCACCCAAGGCTGGGAGTTGCCCGGAACTCAGAGCTAATCAAGGCTGGAGCTGCCCCAAGCTCCTGTCATCTTGGGCTCAAGATTCCCCCCAGGCTGGAGGTGGCTCAGCTCTGGAGGAGGACCAGCTCCTTTGTGTGGTCGGTGGGTCAGGGAGGTGTCAGCCGAACGGAGGGAAGCGGGGAGTTCAGGATTCCCAGCCGAGCAGGTGGTCTGGGAGCTAAGCCCTCTGCCTTCTGACCTGGGGCCCTCTGCCCAGCCTGGGGCTGCCCTGTGAAACCACTGGTCACAGGGCCAACGTGCCCTTCCTGCCTGTCCCCAGCCTCACCCACCCCACCTTTAATTTCCCTTCCATTTCCCCACTTGGTCTTGAAGCTTCTTGCATGTGCTTGCAGGTGTCCATCACCCTTGTAGTTTTCCCTGTACTTCTGCAGCCGTTCTGAGTGAGGCACCCCTTCATTATGGGCAAGTGGGGTTAGAATGAGTACTTTTTTAGAAATGCCTCCTGCCTGAATTCCCATGCAAAAAGGGAGCGTTCAGTATGAACTTGAGTAACTCTTCAAAGAAGAAAAAAAAACCTCCAAACCTCGTCCTAGTCCACAGGGAGTGAGGCACGCTTTTACTCCTCGATTCGATCCGATTCGGAGCGAGCTGTCCGACTTCCACATTGCGAGTCCGTTCATGGCGCGAGGATGCTGCGAGGCCACACAGTTGGCTAATTAGAGTGAGCGCACTCCTCCCGGCCCTGTGTAAATTCCTGTTGGCACTGGCGATGGAAGTTTATTTTCCTTGGAAACGTATAGGATTCAGTCTGGTCGTGCATATTTCCTTTCTAAACATAACAGAGAGAGGAGAGTCTTTATGTGACAACGTAATGGCAAACACTGCGAGTACATTCTTCTCGCCTGGCCTGCTGCACAGACTTCTGGCTTCTCTCCACTTTCCTGTGTTGTGCTGTGCCTCCGGCTCCGTCTGAGCGCATTTTTGCGCCATAAAACTCTTGGCCTTGGCTGAACTGCCTGGGGATGGATTCAGAGCTCAGCCAGTGCTTGGATTCTGGAGCTCTGCGCTGGGCCCGATGGGAACCCCCACATGCAGGGAATTCCTTCCCAAATAGGATTCACTGGAAAAGACTCGCTGCTCCTCCAGGCCTCCACGCCTTTCCCTCTCATCTTATCTTTCTTAAATGATGACTCTGTCTTCAATGTTGCAATAACAGGAGATGTTAATTAGATGTACAATTATTTCCCTGGATCCACTGATGGATCCCGGTTAAGGATGGTGGTTCGTTGGTGGAGGAGGAGGCAGGGGAGAGATGTCTGTCTTAAAAAAACTTGGTTTTCCTGGGATGCTCCTCTCCAGCGCTCCAGGGATGGCAGGCATGGGGAGAAATCTGGATTTTAGTTCACTCAATTGCTGGCTTTCAAGGAACAATGGTGTCATTCATAGCATTTATCTCCCAAATCCAACACCTTTAATGCTTAAGGAATGGATTTGGGTTTTAGCAGATTGTAGGGATTAAAATGTGTGTGTGTGTGTGTGTGTGTGTGTGTGTGTGTGTGTGTGTTGGCACACGTGCTTGACTCTGGGAAGGATTACTAAGTTAAAATGAGTCCCCATCCGCACTCTAGTTTTGGGTATTGCCTAACTAAAGACAAAAACAAAGATGACGGCAGCCTCAGGCTGTTTGTAACCTGAAGTTCTTTTAAACTGTGAGGGGCTAACAGGGTTTTGGCCTGGGGAAAAGTTTCCTCCAGTGAGTAGGGCTGAGGAAAAGGAGGTCATTAAACCTCCAGTGTCCCTCACTGTGGGTAACCCAGGGAGGCCTCTCTCCCTCATTGCCTACTCTTCTTGAGGTGTGTACATTTTGGATTTAGAACTTCCCTTTTCTCCTGTCCTTTCTTTTTAGTTTTAAACATTTTTTGTAGGGAGAGGGGTCTCACTGTGTTGTTACTCAGGCTGGTCTCCAACTCCCGGCCTCAAGTGATCCTCCCACCTTGGCCTCCCAAAGTGCTAGGATTACAGACATGAGCCACCACACCTGGCCCATCCTTTTATAAAGTATACATTCCACATTAGGAGGGGAATGAAGTCATTGATACTGTAGTGAGAAGTACTCCCAACCCATGTGGAGCGAAAGGATTCAGGGGAGCTTGTCTTTGAAAAATCAATCCATGACAAAGCTGAAAGAGGGCATAGAGAAAGGGAAGTTGAGAGGGCACCCCAAGTTTGTCCTGCTTCATAGCTGCATTCTCAAACTTGCGCTGGGTTTGGGGTGATTTGTGCTAAAATCTGGGTTATTGCTGGTTGAAAGCATTTAGTACAGTGTGTGTGTGTGTGTGTGTGTGTGTGTGTGTGTGTAGTGTGTTCTATTTAGACTTGGTTACATTTCCAAAAAGCTTTGGGTGACATCTTTCATGGGTTGCTGGGAATCACTGCCTGAGTCCAGGTGACAAAAGGAGCCAGTTTTATTCTGACGTTCCTTTTAGGTTTCAATCTGATCTCATCGAGACAGCTTCTTTTGCCACCACTGCCTGTAGGACAGTCTTTTGCCTGCTTTTCCTCTGAAGTTGTTTGTTTAGAAGTCATTTGAATCTAGATGGCCCTTTTACTGCTTGTAAAGAAAAGATGGCTTAAGGCTGAGACCTAATTTTGTCCTCCTTTGAGTTAATGCAATCTCTGTTAATCTGGCTTTAAAAATAAATAGTTCACTTGGCCCTGTGAAACTCTTACTAGGTACCTTCTCAGTCAGGGCTGAGTGTCTTTGACCAAACCTAAGTTGATGATTAGACCAGAGGAAATGATCACAAAGCCAGATTCTGGAAAGTGCCGTTCTATGGCTTTGAGACAAAGAGCAAAGCCACGAAGCAAGCATGTGGGTCATGACTTTGAAACACCTGGAGTGGCTGTGCTTGCAGACCCTGGAATTGGTTCATGATACCTATGAGAAGTGCGGTCTCTGGCACATAACAGGTGCCCCCCAGCCCCTGCCCTCAGCCAGAGAGAGTGACTTGGGGGCTGTTGCATGGTCAGATAAGATCACCTATGGACAGAAGAAGGAAAGTGACTTACAGAAAATGGAAGTGAGGCACAGAAACAGGTTGGATGTGGTGGTTCACGCCTGTGATCCCAGCGCTTTGGGAGGCCAAGGTGGGTTGATCACTTGAGGTCAGGAGTTTTAGATCAGCCTGGCCAACATGGTGAACCCCATCTCTACTAAAAATACAAAAATTAGCCAGGTGTGGTGGTGCACGCCTGTAATCCCAGCTACTCGGAAGGCTGAGGCAGGAGAATTGCTTGAATCCGGGAGGTGGAGGTTGCAGTGAGCTGAGATCAAGCCACTGCACTCCAGCCTGGGTAACAAGAGTGAGACTCTGTCTCAAAAAAAAAAAAAAAAAGAGAGAGTTTAAGATTTTAAATTTCCACAGACATTAAGCTTTAAATAGAAGCAACTTAGAAACCACTTACAATGTTTCTAATAGAGATATAAATAATGTTTGTAAGGAATTAGTAAAACAATGGTTCTTTATTATCAGCAATATATTTAGATTAATTCCTTAGAAGTTTGGTTTAGTGGCCAGAAGCAGTGGTTGTGAGGCCGAGGTGGGTGGATCACTTGAGGTCAGGAGTTTGAGATCAGCCTGGCCAACATGGAAAAACCCCATCTCTACTAAAAATACAAAAATTAGCTGGGTGTTGTGGTGCACACCTGTAATCCCAGCTACTTGGGTGGCTGATGCATGAGAATTGCTTGAACCCTGGTGTTGGTTCATGATACCTATGAGAGGCATGGTCTCTGGCACGTGACAGGTTATTATGTTTTGTAAAAAATTAATAAAAATTGAAAAAATAGGCAGGGCATGGTGGCTCACACTTGTAATCCCAGCACTTTGGGAGGCCGAGGCGGGTGGATCATGAGGTCAAGAGATCGAGACCATCCTGGTCAACATGGTGAAACCCCGTCTCAACTAAAAATACAAAAAAAATTAGCTGGGCATGGTGGCGTGTGCAGCTACTCAGGAGGCTGAGGCAGGAGAATTGCTT